AGGACAACCCAAATTTCTTTCCAACTAGTTAGTCATCTCATCACGTCCGCATGCACTAAAACTGAGTTTTACTTTTTACAATGTGTAAGAGTAAGCACTAAAGGGAGTCTACCTGCGGGTGATTTACGTGACAGCCAAGAAGGTGGTTCACATACACACGTAACATGGAAGAATATACGTCCGTGGACCAGGTTGGAAACCCCGTGAATGCAATTCAACTGACGATGAGCACAATTCAAAAAGTACAAAGAACTACTGAATCTCACAGTCGCCAACAACCACTGGATATACGGACTCTTCAGAAATCGACATATATTGTGTTCCTAGGATTGAGTTCAGTAGATAACCGAGTGCTGGGAAGTAGTTGAGTTGGTCAGCCCAAGGGTCAAAAGTTAAACCTGGTCAAATAAACCAGCTTGACTAAACTTTCAACTTATAGCAACTTGAAGTTGTTGGATGGAAAATAGCAAATTGGAGAGAAAGCAAGCTCAAATTAACTCCCACAGGATTTAATACTTTTCTGGTACTCAATAAAATTCGAAAATTCCTCAAAGTACATACATATCATTGCAATCTTGTAGCCTCCTGTATATTTATTTTGTGAAATTAGGAGGCCGGATTTTGCGAAGCATGGATATATGTATGTTTCTATCTATCTCCTTATGTATGAATCGGACGCAAATCCTTTCTATCTGAACTGCAACATTCTTGTGCCCTCTGTAAATTGGCCTCTATCTTTTTCTCTCGCCAAACAACAACAAAGTTTATTTATTTACTTACTTACTACACGTATTTATCAAGTTTGTGGATTTTAGATTAGCAAATACAGAAGAATAGAGCAAAGTTGTGAAAGTTTGATTAGTTGTATTATTGGATTGGGAATAGAATTGGAATTTCGTGTTCCGAGCCAATCTCCTCATTCATTTGTTTCTTCTTCGTAATTAAGCATCCTCCTCTTCTCTCTCCAGACGCGTTTTCTTTCTTTTTGTTCAGTGTTACAAAATTAGATTTTAGCTCATGTCCGAATACCAAATAAGAGCAATTTAAATATTTCCAATTAAACGATTTCAAGTAAAACTTCAAATTTTTACACTTTTCACCCAATGAAAAATTACTATACGTTCTCTCTCTACCAAACTAATTGGAAGTACATATGTTACTTACTCTCATTTGGCCGAGTGGATTCACATAATTCTAATTAATGTAACTCTTCTGCTATTGCAAACTTTCCTGCAATCGACCAAAATGTCGAAAGAGAGTAGTTTGAGACATGCCTTAGTAAATTAGTAGAAGTGGATTTTAGACACCTTTAGCTCTCTTTTGCACTCACACTTTCTTTTAATATCTCAACCTCTGTTATCAGAGGTTTTTTTTGCTAAAATCCACGTCGCCCACTGTTTGCCTTGCTTCACTTGTTTTCTCTGCTGTGGTAAAACAAACAAAGCCACCGAATGCATCCTCAATCCACACAAAGTTTCCTTCACGGTACATCGGTACACGTAAGTATGTAGGTTCAAAATTATGTCCAACCTTTTGCGAATTATCCTTATTAATTTCTGTCGTCACACCGTTTTTACCAGAAATATACATGATTTCCCAATCAATTTTCTAGCATCTTAAGCAAGTACTACGTTCAAATTCCAAGGAATTATTTTTATGGAGCCTACATAACCCTGTACGTACATATCTTAAAAAGGTGGTCAGAACTTACGTAACAACTTGGTTATTTTTGGTATCACAAATTTCAAACCAGAAAACTGTCGCCGTCTTACCTATTGACAACCAAGGTGGAGACGAATTGATGCAACCGCAAAATGTAAAACACATAAGGACAGCCTGGAGAAAGTGTGACCTCCGCTGTTATGCTCGCCGTGGTGGATTGGTTCAGAGTGCTCCCCTAAAATAGGAAACATTAAATTTATAATTATCTTAAATTGTATCCTCGCTTGTATGCGGTTGTATTTAATAATGTAGGGATTAAACACAGATCACGATCTGTAGATAAGAAGACCCCACGTTAATAATTCAGTACAGGATGGGGCCTAGAGTGATGTGACTGGGTGGTTATATTTTTTTTGAGAAAACATTATCCGTGACATCATTTCAGGCCCCAACGTCATAAAAAATTAATCCAAGGCTTCCCATTCTCGTAATTGCATATACATTTATAATTCAATGAGGATTAGATAATACGCACCAGGTAGTAATTACTTACCATTAACTATGTGAACCATTATGGATGCCGCTAAAGAATTAGAGGGCTGACAAGAATACACTCCCCCTTCCTGCATGAAAAGTCAGTGTAAACAAAGTGTTGCGATTACTGGAATTAATTTCGAATGCTTAATTTATGTAAGTAAAATATCATACAGATGGTTGAGCTTTAGAAATTAAGAGACGAGAGGTCCTAGTCAATTTTTCCGTAAGCACGCTTATTCCTAGAAGAAAAAGTTAATTGGTGATGAGTGATTTAAGCTGATTCGTCAGAGATATATTAACAAAAGAATGTGTTAAACTCTGAAGAGAACGGTATTAGATCGATGTAAAATAAAGCAGCATATTTTAAACTATGAAAACAAATACTTGATAAATAATGCATGCAAGCAACAGACGGGGACGGTATGAACGATAAGCATCAATTACTGACGGTCTATCAGACACAATGAATTTCATTCATCTGGTCGTGATAAATACCGCCGAGAGTACACAAGAGCACAATAGTTAATGCGGTGTCAGCTCAGAGAAGGCATAATTGCAAGAATGGCTCGAGTAGGAGTGAGGTGAGTATTTATTATATATGTCGAAGAATTACCTCCACGTTGTGAATAATTTATCACTTTCTTGCCATGATACCAGTAGATGAAGGACGGTGGTTCAGGCGCTTCACGGACTATGCATGTCAGGTTGATGTCGCTGCCACTTTTGAGGTGCAGCTCGCTGTTGCCCAGTATTTCCGCTTGCGAAACTGGAATAAGAGAAAGCACAGGATATACGGAGGTTGAATTAGTTCTTGTTTGACGGGCTTCTGGTCGCTTGGTCTGATTGTGATCCGGCAATGTGATGAAGGTTGTTTTGGTGCAGTACAATGGAATGAATGAAACACTCCATCAACAAGGAGACCGCACAAATGATACGAATTTGTCATTATACTTAATTGCAGGTCGTTACAACTTTCTCTCGCTCGTGCAACGCGAGATTTGACGGTGCTGCTGGTTTGATGCAATACATAATCTTGCTTCGTTCCGTTCGTCTATTATTTTCCCAGTCAATAGAACCATGTTTTTTTTGGTGGTGCATTAGTAATGGGTAATGGTTCCTTTCAATTTACTTGCACTTCCTACTTCTGGCACTTACTGTACTAGAAACTAAATATGGGAAGGAATAATAGAGCACATGTCAGTTTTACTGAATGTCAATCTGAAGCAATATGAAATGGCCTATCCACCAATATTTCTACTCGCACTGGATGCTTTTATTATGAACCTGCCTAATAATAAACTTCGGAATCATGATTCTTGTAATACCAACTAATCCTAAGTAATATAATCACTATTGTATTTATTATTGCACTGCTTCATCATCACATCTGCTGCCAAAGTCATGATACGTTAGGGGTGCGGTGTATGGAATACAGTGATGCGGTGTGATGGCGAAATTCGGTGTGGTGTTGTAATCTCCTAATCTCGGTGTATGGTTACCCTCAATTAAAACCAATGTGACATATTTATTCGACACATCTGCGAAATTTCTGATGTTAGTGAAAGTGCTACAGTTTTGTGGTGCTCCACTTTCCCAATAATTCTACAATAAAACCTATTTGGGGTTATTTATGGCACTACTGAACTAATAGCAGGACCAGAACTGTTTTGCGGTAGACCATGCGGTCAGATCATTAGCTAAGAAGAGAGACGTCATTCCTTATTCCCGTCGGCTCGGAAAGATAAGGGATCGCTCGTTGTAATGTGGGTGTATATATTTAATTCCTGCAGTACGACGTGTATTCCGTCGTATTATCGTGTCATGGAGTAACAAAATTCTTCAATTTGTATCAGTACATATTCCGGAAGATTAGAACTGCAAGCGTTGTATAATATGAATTCCCATGTCCATTACGCCCATTACCCATAAAGAACAATGTGGCTCGCCTGTTTGATAAAATTTATGTGTCAGCATCGCCATCCTGTTGTAACTGGACCAAGTTTGTATATGACTTGTCTTAATACATAATTTAAACTTCATTCCCAATGCCCCACACCAACCATAAGAGACTCCCATTTAATATGGCAGAGAGATAATGCAGTAGGTCACACAGTATACCACAACTACATACATATGTACCTACCTAGTACCTGTTATTATTATGTCATACACATCTGCATTCCCGCCACCTATTCCACTTTGAAATAGCCATGACCAAAAAAGATAGGCCTGATAAGTAGCATATTAAGGTATGTGGGTTACTGGGGAAAGCACATCCATACATGTTAAGTTCACCCTACAGCATCCTATGGGAACATTGAAAGTGTCCAGAGTTCAGTGTAGAAAATAAATAACGCAATTCTTGAAAAATTGTACAATTTATTGTTATTACTCTGCAGGTCTATCCAAGCACAACCCGTGTTACATAGATATGTATGCTATTCTGCCCTTGCTGGAGATTTTCTGTGGGAACAATCTCCTCCCTGAAATAACTCTGAATTCATTCCATGCAGTTGCTGACTCTATAAACTATCAAAGTATGCATTGCATTTGGTATGGTAACTCTATACTTCTGTAGTGGCTGCTATTATACGTTTTACTATTTGTTTGTAGGTCCAATGTTCTGTAAACTTTAAATTTAATGAAGCTGGACTCGATAAGTCATAATACTGATAGTTTCCAGTGATAACTGATGCATTGCCGACTTTTTTCGTGTTGTGTTTGTCAATCATTATTGTTTTTTTGTGAGTCGAATAACCATTAGAAGACGTTTTTCCTCTAATGATAATTAAATATTATGTGCACTAGTGAAAAATGTTAACATAGAAATTTTAAAAGTTTCAGAATGATTATATTTATGTATGAATTTGTAATAGTAAAATTATTTCATTATCATCAACTTACCGACTACATTCATCTGGATGGCCATGCTGATTTTTGGCTCAGTACTAACTGCAATACAAGAGAATACGTTTAATGAGTATGATTTATCAAATTACAATCAGTTCAAGGTTAGATCGTGAATAAGCATATTCCGTTTCCATTTGTTTCAAGTGGAATGGACGAAGATGGAAATACCGAAGGGAGACAATGACGAAAATATGCAAAGTGCAAGTGGAAACGAGCAATTAAGATGGGCATCGCTGAGTATTATCTTTTACTATTCCAGGTACACCCATTCTTATAATTCTATTCTTAAGTATTCTCCAAATCAGTTGTAGAATTAAGGACACTCATTTTCCATCGCAGTGAAAGGCTGCGTTATTTCTGGATAATAACATTTCCCAGTCCCTCTGAGCATTTACAATGGGGAATTAAAAGGGTGAAAGGACAGAGACAATGGACAGGATTCAGACTGAGAAACAAAAGCCAAGAGAAGAAAACCCACTTGCCTTGACACTCATAAATTCCTTCAGGTTGCGAAATTGTCATGAAAAAAAAACAGTTAAATATAAATCCCAAAAATACAATAATATCATAAATGTATAAATACTTACCGCTATTTGCTTGGACAAAAAATAATTCAATTTTATTTAACAATTCATTTAATGATTTATAGTCAAATTAATTTTAAACACTTATCTCTGATTTGTGGAGAGCTGACTTTTAACGTCCATTCGTCCGTGCCATCCGAGTGTAGCGATTGAAATCTTTGATCACTGGCGTATGTAAGAATCCCCACTGTAAAATATAACCAAACATAATTTTATGAAGTCTCATGTTTTTAAATGAAAAAGTTGGCTATCAAAGGCACATTTGCGTTTAACTGATACAACAATGGCAAGGTACCATGCAGCGTCTTAATTTCTAGATTTACTTAATATCCACGTATATTTTGCTTACCAGAAATTATATACAAGTCCCGTTTCCTGATCCACGACACCTGTGTATAAAATTTCAAATTATAAAACTTCGTCATTGGACTAATGTTCAGTACTTCGTATTAAATTTAAATTCCGGTTAATTGTGAAAATCTCATCCCCTATCCAAGACACCTGCATATGAACTACGATATAACCAGCAAGGCCATGCATCACTCTTGAGTTCACAGAGTATTCGTCATCATTATAGCCACTTAGTGCCCACACTCGTAGAGTATTAAGTCCTGGATTACAATTGCTCACTTCAGGAACTCGCAAACTTTCACCACTACGGTCTTCATCAACCCTACCTTCGGAGCATGGTAGGGGCTGCTGGTAGGTGGCTGAGTATTTATAATATGACCGTACGTATGTATGCACAGAAAAAAACTATTCCTTTTTTTCGCCACATACTTTTCCTTTTGTGGTTAAGTAGTTGAGACTTGGCAGTAGTTTGTCTGCCAGTTTGGTTTTATTTCCAGGTTCACTTGGTGAAAGTGGGCTTAAGCCCCTTCACTTCACTCTCACCCTTCATTAACTTCCTGTCCTTCAAAGCCAGTCTGATGGATGGATGACCCAACTTGAGGAAACTTTACTCTTATTATGAGGAAAGAAAGTTGTGCGCACTATGGAACATGCTATAAGTTACTCACTGTAGAATAGGTAATTAGTGCTGTTTATAGAAATGGCAGTAAATATTGCTGTTTAATGGTGTAATCAGATCCTTAATAATAATTAACCTTATTTACTTTATATTGTACACATTGTTGTACATATTGTGTAGTTAATGCATGGTTTACAAAATGTAAATTGAGAGCATCAAATAATAATGAAGATATTTCGCATTTCAGTTGAACTGTTTTCGGCTGATAAATAATTCCATTCGTTGAATGAGAGAAAGTGAAAAACACTAATGGGTGCAAATTGCATTCATTTTATACGTTCCATTTCACACACATTTTCATGGTCCGCTGATAAATGATGGATATTTCATTTAAAAATCCACACACTTTGTTCAGTTTCAGAGTCAGATATTATTCCAAATTCTTAATTCTATGGAATGGAGTAAAAGCTTGAACAAAGTCAAACCTCGCATTTCCAACCGAGTACAATGATACATAAATTCAAAAATTCGCTTCTATAATTCATTCATATATTCTCAGTTATGCCACTTCGTACACAACCGACGCTTTTATTACAAACGAGCAAAATCCACCAAAAATTTCATTTGCATCAGAAAGCGAAGGTTGCTCCACTGTAGAATTAATGATGCAAAAATGTGCAAAATACGCCTTGTTGAAACAATGGGTTAATGGCATAATGATAACTTCAACTTCAACCCACCCATTATGGTTGAGTATCCAGCACTTTTCTCTGCGAGTCAATACAAGCAAAAAAAATATCGTTTAAACTGCATTACGGAAAACAAGGACAAACGAGCGTACTTGAAGAAACTTGAAGAAAGGGTTTCATTTATTTCCAGCCTTGTCGTCTGGAGATATCCCCAGCGCACACGTGTGTGTAGTGTGTACATGTTCCTTAAATTGTTAAAGAGAAGCAAAGTAGTGGAGAAAAAAGGTCATTTTGTTGATCCACTTTCCTGTATCTACTTGCCTTCATTTCGCTTTCTCTGCATGGATGAAAGATAATTTTGTGTGCCAAGACAACCTCGAGCGAATTGACGATATTTTGGAGGTTTAGAGAGACACCTGATTGCAACCTTGTATGAGGAAATGAGATAAACACGGTTAAGAAATAAGCCAACAGTAACAATGCAGTCTGAGGAGGAGGACATAACGAAAGGATTAAGTAAGCAAACCCATTTTTATGTAATGCGGCACATTCACATATCGCGCAAAATGGAAAATTTCTGATTTCTGCCATGAATTGTGTGTAATAAACATTTTTCCCTATGAGCGTGCTTCTGAAAGTGTACATTATTTTCTGTTGTCCTATTCCGAATTTTGCAGACCATGGTGGTGCTCTACTTGTGATGAAAACAAAATGTAACTACATACATATACACACAAATATGGACTTGGAAGTGGCATTCAGCACCAAGTGATCCAATGCATATTGTTGATTATGTATGTCTCACGCTCCTGACCCCGGGTGTCCTTTCTTCGTCTTCTGTTGTTGCTGTGTTATCACATTAAATTTCACATTTTTCCATTTGTGCACTTTCGCCAAGAATCCACATTTTCAGAGAAACACGCTCCTTCGCGTGAAGGAAATTGCAATGCTGCGTTTCATCTCTTCTCGTTATACGGTTTGGCACCTCACATGAACATTATTAGCTCCACACTTTTCTTTGCAAACGAAAAATGGGGAAAATGTTTGTTTTCGCCCACGGGTCTACCAACTTGGATAAAAGTTTTCGCCAGGTAAATCATAAATGACTTCCTGAATTGCGGATGTAATTTCCCATGGAGGTGACCAACTGCTTTCCTTAAGCCCAATACCAAGTTACCATAATGTTTACATACGTAAATGGCGAACGCTGCCTTGCACTCTGAAATCATTATCTAAAGCAGTAATTACTCTAGTTTACAATGTTACGCAAGCATATGTAAAACAGACGCAAAGAGTGTTAATACGTAATATGCAAATGAATATTTGTTTTACATATTGTTTTATATAATGAGCCAAATTCAGAGATTTAGAACATTAAAAATTAAGTGAATAATTTTATTTATACATCCGCCAGCATCATTTTTTTTGCACTTTTGATTATAATCTCAATGGCTGAAAAACTTGAGGTGGGACGCTGTCGAAAATTTGGACCTGCCAACACCATCCAGCCATGTCATGATAAATAGATGGCCCATTCACCTGCAATCTCTGATGCATTCGTCTTGTTCCCCTGAGACGAGGAAGGAAACGATTGATTGAAACAGTAGACGCAGAGCTGAAACTAATAAGAAACTCCATATTCCAACCAACCAACCGAGTCCAAGTGCAGAGTCGAATAGAACTATTTAACGCAATGAAGCACTACGCTAACGAACGAACACCATGCTTTTGATTTGTGCTTTGAAGTGAAAAAAATAGAGATAGACCAGACGAGATGGACTTTTTCGCAAGGATTCCGCTATTCCAAGTCCCACTTATGGAGAAAGAAAAATTCAACTGGAAGCCAAGATACTTACGAGTTTACCTTTACTCGTCGATGGACCTAATAATGCAATTGTTGTGAAAGGAAAGCGGGAGAAAAAATAGGAAAGGTGCTCAGCCTATCGATTTGTGCTCAATCTTCATATAAAATCCTTGACTGGCACACATTCAACATTTCCATCTACTACATATACCATTCAACGTCAGCGTAGACATAATACGTTTTCAATCAAAGTTACAAATACCACGTGAAACACACTGCCGAGATTTCGTCCAGCCTGAGTCCAGTCGAGTGGAATGTATCCAATCAAAAATCTTGTGGCTGGCTTAGACTTTGTGCAAAAGGTTTAGAAGCTTTTTCGACCTTGGATGACCATGCTTTCCTTTTCCATCAAAAAGTACATTTCCTAAGGTGAAGGCCCTACTCTCAGAAAATCCATTGCCAACAATAAATCACACTTACTTCAAAATTGAATGGATAAATATATCAGATTAATATATCATCTCTAATTTAAGACAAAGATGTTCATGCCCACCGAGTTTAGCCCCCGCATCAGAGTTGACTTTCAGCTGCATTAATTCAAACTTAACCTTTCAACAAAATATAAAGAAAAAAGACTTTGAATGGATTTAAGGATAACTAAGCGTGATAGTTTTAAAAGAATACGTTCAACTTCACAATTCAATTTTGTAGAGTAGCACTAAAAAAGTTTAGAGCATTCCATTTATGATGTATGCCTCGTATATGTATATGTACACTATAAATTCAAAGAAAAACTTGATTTTGCAAATGTCCTCACTAAATCATTTATATTGCTAAAATTGGATAGCAATACAATTCTCGAAATAAATGAAATGCAGTTGGGCAAAAGAAAAGAAATAAAATGTGGCTGCGAACTATATATGTATTCCTTAGAATGTGTATGTAGCTTACAACCAATTCTGCCAGCAAAACTGTCCTAGGACAATTCCACAACACAACTTTAATGCATTTTATGAAATCTGTGCGAGTCTTTGTGGTTTTGTTAAAGTGTTCGCATTTCACCAACAGCCACCAGGCCTCACCACAGCAAGTGCAAACCTTCCAACAAGGACAATTTACGAGAATTATACTTGCAAATGTGGTCAAAGCTTTTTCATGTTAGCAAAGTATGTGAACGTTTGGCCGTTTTCCTAGTTGGGGTTTATGATTTGCTAGCTACAGTAAAAACGGGGGAGTGGATTTCGGCAAACAAGCTCCTGTACAGTGAACTTTATGGTAAATAAAAGCAAATTGGTAAATTGACGCTGCAAAATTTGTTTACTCGGAAATAATTAGTCCTTGTACACACTTCATGACAATACATACCTAATTTTATTTAATAACTAAGCTGAAGTTAAGAATTTTAGCGTGAACCATTCTTTGTGGAAGCGTCATGTCCGTGCATCCGTCTAATAATTATGTACGACCGTATACTGAACCAATGGCTTTAAAATACGAAATTGGCAAAAATATGTACGTACATATAAGTAACATTACGGTGAACATGCAGTTTTACCATGTGCACCCAGCAAGACTTTCAGATTCACCCAGCAAGAACTAATGAGGAGACAAAGACTGGCTGGGCTATACGAAGGGCTAAACTAATTGTAAGTTATTTTACATAAACTACTGTACTGTCAGGAGATAACGCTATCAACAGAATAAAGGTATAAAAATGTTACTCAAACTTTAGTGGCTATTGTAAACCACTAACTGCACGAAACCAAGAACATTACGACTGTTGAAACAGAAACGGGAAAACTTTTACAACGTTGGTTCTATAATGCAAAATTGTGTCTCAAATTAGGTTAAAATCGTACAAGTAAATGCAATAAATTATAGATCTCAAGCAAGTCTAGAAGATGTTTACCAAGGAGGAAGAATACTTTATTTGTCTATGAAAGTGCAATTTTGCAAGCTTTTCCTTTCGTGCATATCATATTGCATGACCGCTGCCGGTTTTCAAGCGAAAGTCGCTTAAAGTAAATCAAATTAAAAATGCATTATTCTTTGCTAATGAGTTGGGTTGGAAAGTTAGTTATGCTACCAAATGCATGCATGTTTGGCTCAATTTATTATTTTTTCCCTGATGGTCATAATTTTCTCGAATGGGATGCGCAGAGGAGTCTAACGACCAAATCCTTCTGCGACATAATCCTAATTGGCTGCTTTCCCTCCTTGTCTAACTGATCACATATCTAATATTCTCGATTTGCATACAAGAAGTGGCACGCACTATTTGACATCTTTAATTTGTTAGACTTGCTCTTCTCTACTTCTTCACGTAAGTATTTATTATGGAGTATAAAATACTTGCATTTTTCTCTTTACGCTTAACTTGCTACCTACTAAAATGGATCAATTTCTAAAATTATAAACGTAACAATGGTCATCAACTAGAGTGTTTTAATTTGAATATTTCCGTTTGTGCCGTACTTAAATATTGGCAAATTGACCTAAATCATATTTTACAGTAAAACATACTTATCAAATAAATCATGTAAATATTCGCTTAGTTTCTCCTGCATGTTTATAATCAAACGCGGAGATATTTTCCTCTCTCGCCAATCCCATCACACTACGAGACATATAATTTTTTCCAGAGAAATGCGAATGTCACAATGCAAACGTTATTTTTCTGCCTTGCGAATAACTATGTGTGTTGACATACTTTTCTGATGCGAAATGGAATGACAGGCAAAAGTCTTGCGAGTGTATCTCTGAGGAAAAAATGACTTTTCCATTTTTTACGAGAAGAAAGTCGAATCAAACATCAAGCTCGACCATGGCACTCATGTAAAAGTTTGAATCCATTCTCGTAAGTTGTCGAAGTTTGTAAGTAAATCGCTTCATTGCTTTATAGTGGGCACGTACGTACGTTGTGTTTCCTCGACTATACACTTATTGATTACCTTACAAAGAAAGGCCTTCTTGTTGATTTTTATGTGCACTACTAAATCCGTAGTCTAGGATGGAAGGCATAAAATGTGCTATGAAGGAATCAGGAGAAGGCAGAATTGACAGAAATGACAACAACTCTCCGCCCAGGCTGACAATATTACCAAGATGAATTTGCAACTTAATGACATGGTTAGTCGCGGCTTTGCAACTAAATTCCTTCAAAGGTACGGAGTGAAAGAGCGGTGGGAAGCAGGGAGGGAGTGAGATCGATGGACTGTTCGAATTCCGACTCCTTATGTCAAGTCGTTGTCGATAATTGAAAGTTTCAATCAGTGCTAAAGTTGCAAAGTTGTGTCGTTTATGTTTACTCACCACACCAGAGCGCTTCTCTTCAGCTGGGGATGAAAACATGTAAAAGCTTTTTGAACTCAAAGTCGGATGACTTCTGCCTCAACAGCGTCGCATAATAATGCTCTAATCCGTGGCAGATTGTGGAGGCTGACCCACGAAAACCCTAATATTGACGTAGTAGGTCCATGTAACGTAATTTTATGAATCTATACGATAATATTTTGTGTATTATCATCTTAGGTATGTATGCAATGCTAAATATTTATACATCATAAAAAGTGTTGGTGTAATGAACATACAAAGTTTTTAAATATGGATAGGTGTTTATTTATTCTTCCACGCAGCTTAATTCCACGCAGCTTAAACTTTGTTCTGCGCTTTTATTGTCTTGGTCCTAAGTTAGGACTCCTAACTAAACTGTTATAACATGCAACTTGCTGTGTGTATGTACAAGTAGTAAGAAAACCGTGGACAAGATGTAGCTAGGAATGCATACGAAAGAGAAAGTTTTTGGCCAAGGAGTTTAGTTGATGATGTCGTCGAAGGAGGAAATGAGAAGTTGTAACACAGTCGTAAAATTTCGACCGGATCATATGTGGCTGAAGATAAAAGAGGGGTGAAGTAAATCCGCTTAATATTATTATGGTTTATGAACCTTTATATCCGATATAAATCTCGGCATGTTTAGCTTCTATCTCTCTATAAACTTTGCCAAGAAGTTGAGATAAATCTGGCTGAGGTCGCAACGTCTTCTTGTAAATATTACATGGTCTTATCAAAACTTTAAACTCCTCGAAATAAATATTTTAACTACAATAAATTAAACATGACAGAATTATTCAGCATTGTGATACCCATCTCTATGAAATATGGGGAAGAAAATTAGTAGTAAGAATGCAATTGAGTCCTTGGGTTAAGTGAACTATACACACATGCGTACACATTTTGTAAAACATATTTGTTTATTTACAGATATTCGCTTTATTTGGACGTTGGGATTCCTATTTGACAGGATTAATTGTTGCTTTTAGAATCTATGATAAGGAGACTTTTTTTAACCAAATTCAGCAGTTTGTCCTTAATTTGCACTGATGGAATATCCACCATCAATGGTTAGAAAATTCCCCGTCATTATTGGACACTCATCTCCCAACGTGAAGAGGATCGCATTAACAACTTCATCAATACGTGCAATTCGCTTTAAAGGGGTTCTTGTCATAAAGTTGTCATTTTGAGGTAATTTTTGAGCCATTTCTGTCAAAATGACGGAAGGATTTATGGAATTGACACGAATCTTGTGTTCTCCTAATTCCACGGCCATAACCTTAGCTAAACGAGTAAATGATATGATACTGAGAACAGTTATTGATGTTTAACATTAGCATTCGTCTCTCGTACTTAACATATCCATTGCAGCTTTAGATGTGGAATATGCACCCAATTTTGTAGATGCCCGAAATGACGCCTGAAAATAATAGTTGTATTATTGCAACTACTTACGATAGGAATGAAAGACTTTTATATGATTTGCATTTAAACTGCTGAGAACCCAGCAGTTGTTGTAACTAACAACGGATGAGACGTTTACTATTGATCCTGGTATCCCAGCTTTGATCATGTTTTTGACCACAACCTGAGAAACATTCAGAGCACCTTTGAAATGCACTCCAAGTGATCTACACAAATAGTCCATCGTCAACACTGACCACAACTCGGCATACTTATTCACCAGAAAAGATCAAACAAAACCATTCTCACAAATCAATACTTTCCAGCTTCATTTCCAGAAAGCTCTCAGCGATGACCAGCCCTGCGTTGTTGATGAGATAGTGGACTGGACCTAAGGCGTCCACGCCTTCTCGTGTCGCTTCCCAATCCATAAGATCAATGTTGCAAATTCTAACATTTGGAAATTGTCTTTGAAGCGCATCCAAACCATCCTGCGCTTTATCCACTGCAAAAATTATTGCCCCCGACGCCAAAAACCTGTCCACCAATGCCCTCCCAATGTCTGAACCGTAGGTATTAATTACATTTAATTAATTCGATACGCATGCTTAAAGTTAGATAAACATATTATACGTATTCACCCAATAGTTCTACTTACTTCCAGCAGCTCCAGTTATTATAACCTTTTTATCCTTAAATGCCATGTTTTTTTACTCAAACGAAGATCTGCATACGTATCATGAGAATGCTTACTAAAGCTGGAATGAATATCGGATAGTTCATAAAACTCTTAAATGGTTTGTAATGTTCTTGTTGAAAATCTGTGTCACTATAAATTAATTTGGTTTTAAAATTTCAATTGAAATGTTAAAATTAACAAAGCTATTGTTAAACCAGGTGACAGAAAGCATTATATTTGTGTATCTATATCTGCTTACGTACAGATGAATAAAAATGAATAACTCATTATTCTGAAAAATTCCTAATGGAACTAGGTCCGTATGTCAAAATCTTCAGTAATCATGATTTGCCTGCAATATGTGGTCTATTAATTAAATGGTTAGGAACTGTTCCTTTATTGCGTTGGAGGTTTAACCAGTTCTTCTATAAAGACGAAATATGTTGTGTATTTGGGGAGATTACATACAAAGGAAATTGAGCACGACAGATTATCCTGGCTGACACTTTACATAAGAAGGCACTTTACTCAAATTGCAATTTTCCACTAACAAAGACAAAATTATGAAGTATGCATAATGCATAATTATTTCGTATTTGATGATGTAACTTTGAAATCTCTATTTGCATATAATTTAAACTGGAGGCATGGTGCATATGTAGCAGTTAATGCTCCTCGCTAAATGTTTTTCATGCTAATAAAACTTGCCTACAGTCTCAACAATTCGCTAAATTCTTCTCAGAATGAATGTCAGCGAGGCAAAATTGCAGTGAGCCATGCATGAAGGTGAATGGAATGTGAATCAATTTAATTTATCAGTATAAACGACTATACCTAACGATTATTGCTGGGAGAGTTTCAATTTCGCAGCACATATTTCGTAGCCCAAAAACGAAGTAAAGCATTAGAATATGGGACAAATGGTCATAAATCTGGTTAAAGAACCATTACGGTTTTTGAACAGGAGATCTGAGGCAGAACTTCAGAGGGAATGAAAGGACCGAAATGGAAACGGCGGCGGTGGTAGTGTCAGTCTCGTACATCGTGTAATTCTAAGCTTCCGTATATGAAACCACCAACCGAGTAAGCCGAGGTCAAGGCATAAATCGCGAGAGGTTTAAATTAAACCTTTAATCATAATTATGCAGCACAGTCATAAAAGGAAGATTAGGTCATAAACATTTGGCAGTGGTTTGGCGTGGAATTTTCTAATTTGATCCAATACGACAGACAGCAGAAAGAACAAGATTGTCCTCTTTACGGAGGAACACAAGAACCTTTAACGGCTTACAAGATTTTCACAGCGCTTTTGCTAATTTCAGAGAGCTCATGAAAAGACGGCAATGCAGCAAAGATTTAGATTTCTTTGGATATGCGTTTTTTTATTAAGTCGAAATTAAACACAGGTTTTATTATTTGCTTTTCAGAACCAAAGTACACAATCAAGAGTCTATTTTCTCAAAACAAACATGTTAAACAATCACAACCCTAGTAAAAATTTTAACAAATTTCCTGCATAAAATTGGCCCAATATTCTGCAGAAAATTGGCCCAATTTTCTGCAGAAAAGCTTTATGCATAGAGCTTTCTGAAGAAACCTATGCAGAATTATGCATAATTATGCACATATGGTTCTGCAGGATAATAGCGACACAAATTTTCTGCAGGATTATGTAAAAAAAATTATGCATAATACAATATGCATAGGGTTTTTGTCGATTTCTGCAGAATTCGGCAGAGTGATTTCAACCAGGGAAATACTGGTAATAGGAACATTTAGTTTAACCTAAATGTTCTCATGGTTTGCTAATTCAAGCATTAATGTGAAGAAATTTGAGGAATAAATTTACAAGGAATTTTACTATGTTATGTTGTCGCTACATTATCCCTCAAATTTTTAGTCTGTTTGAAATACGATGTGACCACGTGAAAGCGGAGAAAGATGAAAAACCACATCAGTTGGTCGTATACATTTCTCTACACATTCCCTCCAACCAAATAAACTTCAAAGTAAATGCGAAGACGACTCAACACCAAGTTCTTGATCTTATCTGCAAAATGCCTCATGCTCCCATTCCTTAACATGCATACTTTCACTTCAAACCATGCCAACCACCAGCGTGTCCACAGCATTGCATACTCGGTAGCTTTCTCTTGATTATTATAACGTTAGTTACATCACTCGCACATTCCCATCAGAGGCGGAGGAAGAAGGCGACGAAAGTTTATTCAATTAATTAGGAGCAGTCTGCATCTAATGAATTTTCTAAATTACCTCTAACGTCTCCAAGCTGACTTAATGAGTTGTTTGTCCTTGCCAAAGAGTAGGAAAGAAAGACCCAACAGGCTAACAACATTACCAAGAAAACTGTGCCACTCCTTTCTTTCAAAGTGTTATGTCGGGCGGGCATAAATCTGCCAACATTTCACCGTGATGGCTTAATATAATGAATACGCCTTATACCCTATTTATTATTTGTTTTAATTGATCACTAACTTGTCCGAATTCTTCAGTCTTGGAAAACAGATCGGGATTCTCTCAGAGTTAGTGACGGAGACATTAGACTACTTCAGCCTGTCAATATCGTTTGAAGAATGAGCTCTATAATTACTCTTCCACTTATACATACAGACAGACTGAGCAATTTTCGCTGAAAATAAAATGTCTCGTTTCATAACTTTTTTTTGTGCAATACTACATGTTGACATGTGCAATACTACTAGTCATCGCGAGACAAGGAGTGGTTGGTGGTTGGAGCTAAAATTAATGTAAAAATACTTATATTCAATTTAATAAATAGGAACGACGAAAGGTCATTAATTCCAAACAAATCCAATATGAAAGCTCTTTTGTGTTTGTGATGGTGACGTCAGGAGAAGATACTAAAATTAGCAAACGAATCTATGAAGGAGATAGAAGAAGTGGGGTGCGAGCGTCAAGACGTACATAAATTCCTTGGAGATCACACTGGGCTCAGTTGTCGTTACTTTAACTTGGCACATAAATTCAGGGGAGCCAGGAACAAATCTAAATTCAAAACTTACATCCTGAAGAAGAGCAAAATAATGGGGACGGAGAAAGAGAGAGATTTCTGTCAACTGTGTTGTTGGCCTTGAAGAGCGACACAAGAGTTAAGCTGAAGAAATTAGAATTTAAATTGTTTGCGATGTATATATACATGTGTACATACGTATGTACACACTGTATCCACGTGTAGGTACATATTTGGCTATATCGTGTTCTCGTAACACACATTTCACTGTTGCAATTAAACCATCAGAATGTTAAGCGGGTTTGCGTCAATCCACGTTTCGAATAAGTGACATAATGTTTACTGATATGCAAGCCAGCCTACGCAATTCTTGCTGACACCCCGATCTCCTTTACATATTTACATACATGCTTTTATGACTTTAGTGTAAAATTGTAGAATTTAGAATTACTCACAGCACGGTCTCCAAGATTTCTGACTCTACAATGTAAATAGGCAGTCTGTCCCACGGTAACGGTGACGTCCTTTTTAGTTGAATTTTCAAAATATGGTTTAGAAAACGGTTGATCCCAGTAGCCACCTAAGTTCAAAAACAATCATTAGCAACTCTACAAGTATAAATTTATTGCTTAGCTTTTATTCAATCAACGTCAGTCAGTATATGTGCTCAAACAAAAACTTTGTATAACTCGTCGGAGAAAACAACAAGTCAGCATTCGATAAGATAGTCATTAAGATTGGGAAAATCATGCAGAATACATAAATGGCCCAAAGTTCAATCCCAGAGTTGATTGACTTATTTAGATTTTATTGCATAATAACTATTGGTTGTTTTATAACTGATGCTGAGATACATATTTCGGATGAAAGTCATGCCTATAAGTTAGTAAAAAATATTTATTAAAACATACCCGAGAGATACTTTCGTCCAGAGAAATTTCCTAAAAAAATCAGAATATTAGACAGATGATATTAAATTAGCATTGTTTGGTGCATTTAGTGTAAGCATAGCAAGAAGAGGTTCCATTTCGGAGAAGCAGATAAGAAAGTTGGACGGACAAGGCAGAAGTTAAATACAAACTTTTTGTTTACTTTTAACGTTATGTAGTAAACAACAACCGAAACATTGGTTAAGTTTTTAATTCAAATGTGGGTTGATTGACCCAGATTGCAGGAAAGGTTAATGAATCCATTTTTCCCGAAACGTTAGTCTGCTTTCCCAATTTTATTCAGTTGTCAGTCTTAAGGAGCGAAGGAAATTACTAATCACAAAATATGTAGACAAATCCTTCGGAAATTAAAATAATCTCGAATTTTTAAATACATTTACATTCAATATATATTTTTTTTAATAAATTATAAAATCCTAGATGGAATTTTAAAGTAAATATTGAAATAAAAATCATGCGATAATATTTTTATTTCACCATAGTCATTTCTCAATATGTATGTTTTTGCGTTCGGTACACAACTTTTTAACAAGTTAACAAGCATAATGGTAAATAGTAACTTCAAGGGTGATGAACTCTAACATGGTCTTGAGACTTTAACACTTTGCGCAATATGTCCTTACCATGAACGAGATTTGACTCGTCTCTCCTCCGAAAAAATGTCCAGACAGAATTTAAGAATCAGAAGGGTGCAAAAATTTACTGGGAGTAATAATAATGAACCCTTTCCACAATCCTTAATAAATCCTGTTAAAAGCTATGCAAAAATTTATTTTGGCACTCATTTTTCATTCAGACAGCTTTTTCTGGTGCCTTCTCTTCCTAAGGTTGTTAAAAATGTGCGATGAATCATAGGATAACAGTTGACGTGTTAAGAAGGTAGCCATTTTTACGCGTAGAATTTAACATAAGTACCATTACAAATCTATGCGCCATTTTGTAAATTGTACATGATTGTACACATATTTGTGTTGATCATTCAAGATATGTGTATTATATTTACCTATTTTTCTAACGTTTCTCGTAGGTCGTAATATTAGAATTCGCAAAAACAGACCTACCACGGAACGGTCTTTAAAAATTATTTCAGTCGAGCACTCGGAATGAAGAGAGACCAAAAGGAGTAAAACCCTTCTGGGTTTGCATCACCCAGATTTCAATGAATGAGCGAGAAAGACAGAGAGAGAAAGTCG